TAGATTATCAGTGAGTGTCAAAGATCGTTCCCCAATAACTTGGGTCGAAGTACCATTAGCAATAGAAACAAAATGTTGTGAAGAGGAATTAAGCGGGGAGACCTGTCTAGAATCAAATGTCATACGATCTGTAGCACCACAATCAATTATCCATGCCCTATTAACAACAGGTGTAGAAATATTTAAAACCTTACCACCATGATCTCCAGTTACTACCAACCCCAAGGCCTTGTCAGCATCATCATCATTTGTCTTAACAACTACTGCAGCGGAGGTCTTCGTTGAATTCTTCTTCCAACGACTATGATCCCACCATTCTGGATATTTCACAAGTTCGAAACAACGACTTTTGGTATGACTAGTCTTGATTGCAATGGGTGCATTTGTAGGTAGACTTGTTTGCACTGTTGGTAGCTTTAGATTGATTAGGTTTAGAACGGTCCTGCCAGTTTTGCTTAGACATGTTTCGAGCCATCATGACTGAAGCTTCAGAGTTTTCCCTTTCAGAGTTGCACGACGTACCGCTTCTCGTCGAACTAAAGAGTAGCAGCCTTCCAAGTCTGGATTTGGATCGTTGCGTAGAATTTCTCCACGAACTTGTTCAAAATCACCATCTAATCCGGCAAGAAAGATGTGAACCCTTAGTCGCTTGATAGACTTTCGATATGCTTCAATGTCATCTGGATCTTTCATGACCACTTTATCTCGATGGTCCATTTCTCGGAAAACTTCAGTTAGCTCTCCATAATATTCAGATAGAGATTTGCCCTTTTGTTTGGCGGTGAGGCCTTTTGGTTCAAGGCGAAAACTTGCAACTCATCATTCCCATCATAAAAAGTCTTTGATAGAGCACTCCAGATTTCGCGAGCAGTGGGTAAGCGTAAATAACGTTTCATAATTTATGGAGTCATGGACATTAATAGCCACCGCTTCACTTTCTAATTAGGAACTGATTTCGTCCTAGAGGATTCACTATTTTTTTCACTCATTTTCTTTTCTTTTCTTTTCGTTTTTTTTTTTTTTTTTTCCCTTCCTTTGTTTTTTTTTTTTTTTTCTCTTTTTATTTTTTTCCTTTTCTTTTTTTTGCCCTTATATATATATATAAAAAATAAAATAAACAAAAATATAAAAAAATATTCAACTTGTATTAAGTTGCAACAGAGACACAAAAAAATAAATAAATAAATAAATATCAAATACAAGAACAAAACTAGATGAGAGGGGCAGTGGCAGAGAACGGCAGTTCAGATCCGGCGATGGCAGATCGTCGGCAGCGACCGGCAATCAGCGGTTCACGGCAGTTCAGATCCGACGATGGCAAATCGTCGGCAGCGGCAGGCAGCAGTTCCGTTGTAGGCAGCGGTTCGATTCGGCAGCGTCGGCATCGGCTGGAGAACAACGTCGGCGTCGTCGGTTGGAGACAGCGACGGCTATAGCGATTCGGCGGTTCTGAGATGGCCGCAGTGTCGTCATCGGCGGTTGAACAGCGGTGAAGGTCCGGCGATGGCTATGGTTTGTGATAGCAGCGGGTATGGGTCTGTGTCTGGATATGGTGAATGTATGGGTCTATGTATGGGTATGTGGATGTGAATTTATGTGTATGTGTATGTGTATGTGTATGGGTCTGGTGTTGGAATGTATGTGTATGAGTGTATGAATTTCAAAAATAAATTAAAAGGGATTCAAATAATACGATTCAATGATGGCTTTGATACCATCTTTATATTCAGAGAAAGAATATAAGAATCAAAACTTAATTCAATATTATTTACTATTGTGTTACGTAATATCTAGCTAAAATAGGTAAGTAAACATACAATAATCAGAAAATTAATTACCTATCAATTAGTCATAAATCACGGAGAAAATAATTCAATCATACAGCTGTACAATAGATAAAATCTCAACAGAATGTACTATTTACCAACAATGATGAGTAGTTTGCAGTTGAAGTTAAGGTAATATTTAAGGTGTTTAGTGATACAAGACGGTCATAGAAAAGGATGAGGCTGTATACATTCAAGGTGGATTGAAGGTAGGGTTAAGAGTGGAAAGGGGGCTAAGTAAGTTGAACTTTGATGAAAAGTGAGAACCTCTCACATGCAAGGGATTCATCCCCATTTAAGTATGCTCTCTCAATCACTTCTACAGAAGTCAGTCATTTTAAGTTTGTTAGAAAGAAACCCAATTTGGAAACTTCTCATTGACCTTTCTTTTATATGAAGAAACCTTATTTCCTCCAAATGAAGCTATTGAAGGAAAGCTAAAGCTTTGATTAATACAATTTTGGCATATCCTCTTCTCTCAATATTCAGTAAATTTAAACTTTTGAAATTTTGGGGGTTTAGGTTTTGGAGCAGATGAGCAATGATTAAGCTAGTTAAAAGGGCATTGGTGTTAGAAATTTTTTAATGAGTTTGTAATTAAGAGTTTGAGAGAGATTGAAGCAACAATGGATGGTATTGTTAAATCAGGGTCTTAATTAACAAGAGAAGTAAGTGCATAACAGAGCCAAGAAGGCAGTGAAAAACATTTTTGAGAGTTGATCGGATTTTTTTATTATTATTTTATTTTATTTTCTAAGTGGGAGGAGATCAGATTCAAATTTGGTTGAGATGATAGGATTTGTCTTTTTATTTTACTTGTTAAGTCTATTCTAGGTTGTATATTTTTATCGTAGGGCAGTATGGAAATTCAAAGCTGTTAATGGGTTTAAGGGAAAAGTGAAGAAAAGACAACCGATATCTTTCCTGGTAATGCTAAATGACTAGATAAAATTAGTGACATCTATTTCATGGGCTCTCATATTCCTTTGCATGTAAACCATGTCGACACGACATGGGTATGGGTATGTGTATGAGTATGGGTACAAAAATTGACAATTTTGTTTGGGATGTTAAATGAAATTGAAGTGATCTTCTATGGTTCACATCACCTTTAAATGAAAAAAAAAAAAAAAAAAAAAAAAAAGGTTCTATTTTTTATTTCTTGGTTGAAGCTCTGAACCAATTTTATCCTGACACTTGTTTTACCTTTTCTGAGTCATGGTTTATTGAAGTCTCTTGTGTGATACTTAATCCAAAGGAATAAGATTCTGATGTAAAGAGTTGATCTGTTGTTGTTTCTTGATGTGTGGCACTGTCACTTACATTTTTGTGCAAGGTAATAAACCGGTATTAGTCCATTCTTTTACTAAATAACTTTTGTTTCCTTTCTTTCAGTATGGACCCAGAACGGCTGCAGGAGTTTTCAAATCTCCGAATTGAGTACCAACTAATGGTTAAGAAGCTGGAGATAGAATTCAAACGTGCAAGGAAGGCGAAAAAGGAAAAATTGCAGCCCTACTTGGAACAAAGGAAAAATCAGCTGTCTGAATTGAAGAATAACTTCGAGACTGAGCTTCTGTTATTGCTGGATACAGCAGTACTGACCGTCGGAACTGATGAAGACGTGAAAGTGTTTATATATCTGAAGCTGCAGAAGCATTGGCACGGCAGTGTCAACCTGTCTGCAGGGATACCACGATGGACAGAGGAACAAATGTGAAGGATTTGACTCATTGGAAAATACAATTATACTAATTTGCAAAAGATCATTTTTTTTTTTTTTTGAAGCTGCTCAAATATCATGTCTGTGATGTATTGCCAGCGATGGGGGCAGCACATTGTGTGTTGGATTTTATTTTGGTTGATGGATGGTGATTCTACATAGAGCCAAAATGTTTATATTTCTGGAAATTTGCCAAGTGGTTTTCCAAAGCATTTATGATTAGGATCTTCATAGGTGATTTATTATGCATGTGATTGATTTGTTGCAAGCCATGATTTACTTTTGTGTCATTGGCGTGTTGCAGTTCTCTGTCACTTGATGTGAGTAGACCAACTAGCTGTAGCATACTTTGGTTTAAGGATTGCAATATATCTGACAAGTATTTTGAGTGATGACACCTTACAATATGTTAAAATTTGGTTGGGATTGCAAAATTAGAATTTTTGAATAAAGTTCTGAAAATTTGCAAAGATCGATTGGTTGCACTTTTTGCAACGGGTCAAATTTCTCAACCGAGATTCAGTGAAGTTCGAATGGTTGGACTTGTCTTAAATGCAGTTGCCTCAATTATCTAGTGAATTAGTGTCTCTCGTGAACGGAGTGTTAGTTTTCAACTCTCTACATCTAGTAATTTAACATCTAACACTTCTTGCCTTGGAGAATAAAAAAAAAACACTTGTCCCGAACCGAAAAGAAAATTGTAGTATGTGTAAATATGACCAAACTTATAGGAGATATCCTTGGATAAAGGAGCAAATTAAACCAATTCACCCCATCTAAGTTTTGTGTTTTGAATTAAACTTTCACAATTTGTGTTCTGATTTAAACTTTCACAATTCACCCCATCTAAGTTTTGTGTTTTGAATTAAACCTTCACAATCCTTCCACGTAGTGCAACTCACACTTGGTATTAGAACATATTCCTTTGAATAATGAGTTTGTTCCCCTTACTAAAATCATTTTTTTTTTTTAACCTTATATGAAAATTTCAGAAAACTCCTTATTTGATTGGTCTAAATATAGTAAAAAAGTCTTTCGCAAGTCTCAAGTAAAAAAATCTTTCAATAAATTATTTTATATGCCCCATCCGATGAACTCAACCTCAACCTCAACTTCTGCCCCATCTGATGAACTCAACCTCAACCTCAACCTCAACCTCCAAACGTTGAAAAAGTAAAAACAAAAATATATTTTACTAATAAAGAAAATATTTTTAAAATTTTTTGCGTCAAAACAAACCGAGCCTGAAAAGAAATATACGTACAAGTACATATGTGTGTGTATATATATATATATGTGTGTGGATATAGGAATACCAAATCAAAACGTTTATTAGAGAATCAACCAAAAATATTTCTCTACTTAACCACCAATGGGCAAAAGAGCATGTGTACTTCATTTTGCAATTAATACTATACCAAATAAATTTGTAAGGACGTAAAAACAAAGAATTAAAGGATTACAAAAGCTGCTCCAGGAGGAAGTTTTTTTCTAAGCTTCTCGGCGCGCTTTCTGGCTGCCCTTTTTCCCTTGGTCTCCATAAACTCCCATGGAGTTCCTATAAGATAAGGTTTGCGAGGATCAAAAGTAATCTTCTCAAGCATGACAGCACTCTTCATTAAATACGTTGCAAGTTCAATATCAATTGGACGCCCAACCCATCCAACGAATTCCACCACCTTAAGGTACTGAAGGGGACAAATTTCAACACTTTCCAGTTTTCTTCTCACAGCGGTCTTGAACCATTGCAGCTGTAACAAGGAGAGATGGAGAACCATTAGTGCACAAAATCAAAATACAAAGCATCAAATCATAATTGTTCTGGTGAAGTTAGAATCTCGACATTGCTAGACTCAATGGAATAGCCACCGCACGCTCCAAGGAGACCGATCGATGACTCAAATGAGATGAAAATAATAATAATAATTTATGAAATTAATCACTGTGTTTATTGTCAACGACAATATAAAGATTGAGTGGGATACAATTTAAGAGACATTTAATTGATCCATAATTTTTTAACTTTTATAAAATCAAGACAAGTTTAAATATAGCAGGCATAACAGAAGAACAATAGTATGTGTTGATGAATTTCTTATGGCAAATTTTAAACATAAAAAAGTTTTATACCATAAAATATCTGTATTTCTATGTACCGACTAGTAACATCGCCAAAGTGTCTAAAATAAATAACTGAAGATCCTGAAAGATAAATTAAACTTCTGGTACTGCAGGGTACTCACGGGAAGTAGAAGAAAGGGGATGATTCCTATAGTGTCTTTTGGCTTGCATTCCTCAGCATTTTTCATCTTCAAATCATGGGGTCAAATTTCTTACCGGGATTTCTTAGTTTGTTTTAGTCTGTAATTGCAAGTAGATTTTAATTTAACTGCAATCTCAATTTCTCCTTTTTACAGCTTTCTTCTCTTACCAATAGAATTATAAGGAAAAAGAAAAGATAACATAGTTGCCTTCGGACAGTGTGCCTTAAAACATTTCTTCGTGCGTTTATTAAAAGCATCTACACTTGGACCTAAATAACACGGAATCAGTCACGTCCTCAATAAGCAAAAATGGAATATAACGCTGAGCAATCATTAAACAATCTGATTAAAGTAACCATATTAAAAAAACTTGAACAATCAGAAGAATAGAGCACACTAAATACTATAAGAGAATTTTCCTATTACTCAGTGATATTGTAATTTGTAATAGACATAAAGAAGTAATTACTTGGGTATAGTGAAAGCTTTTAAGCCGAAGTCCAAATGAATCAAATTTCCATTTGAAAATTACGAAAGCAATAAACCTCACGGTATTAAAATGCATGTTGTAAAGTAAGACTTATTACCTGCAACACAAATTTATTCAAGAATGGACATGCCTCTATCAGGGGAACCAAAACAGTAAGGCTTTCATTATCGCCTGCACTAATTATCAACTCCAGTTGCTTCAGCTTATTAAATACAGGAAATTTAACATCTTCAATACTATTCTGAATAAACCAAAGAAAAAGTAAATCAGCAAAGATAGATAATTATGTAAAAAAAGAATAAAATAAAAAAGAAGGAGGAGATAAAATGAATTAGTTAAACTTACTAACCTCATCATAGTAGGCCAAGTGCAACGTAAGACTCTCAAGAGAAAGATAGCTAGAAAACTCCAAAAAGTTACAAATTAAATTATCGCAATACTCACCCCCGACAAACATTTCCACTGGTGGCGGGACATTCTTGAATGGCAAGCTAATTTTTGGTCCATAGTACTTAAATGACACTAGATTCATTGCAGAAATCTCAATACTTTCCACATTATAGCAGTCAGTTATTGCCAGGTGCGTCAATTTGAGTGATAACTCTGAAACTTTCAGATTGACGAGACCATCAGATTTGTGCACAGTCAATTGTTCCAAAAATGGACAGTTAGTTAAAAAGTACTCGAGAACTTGTCCAGTTACATTCACGTATTTTAGCTGGAGATTGGTCAAGGAATTGCAGCTAGTAAACCCACGGGGGTGATTCGTAATATGATAAATGTAATCCTCTTCCTTTCTAGTATGATGTTCAATGTTTGAAACGTCTAAATCAAGCCTTTTTACTCTCTTTTCCATTGCAAAGTTAACCCAATTGTTGATATCAAATCTACAAGTTTCATCGAGATCAAATTGAACTCTGAATTCATCTAAACTTGGACCATTGTACGATTTCAAAACTTGATTTACCCAACTCAAATACAAAGGCCTTTCTACGTCAAGTCGTTTATCTCCCAGTTTCAGTCCATATATAATATGTAAGGCATCAAAGTTCAAAGCAGTAATGTAAGTCCACATATACCTCCATCTTTTTGATAGTAAACTAGTTCTTCCAGCTTCTTTCATTGTCAATAGTGACAAGATTGAAATAAGTAAAGCATCAGGAAGTCCACTAATGCAATCCTCCAAACACGACCCTCTTTCATTGTCATTGGTTTTCTCCATGGGAATTGATTTTACAGTTTTCTGGATAATTTATTGCATAAATCTGCAGAACCAAGAGATAGCAGGAGGAGAAGATGAACAGATTAGAGATATAAAACAAATTTTACTTGCTTTATTGCCAACAATTTTATATACCAACTTGGAAAGTAATGTTCAATAACTTAAATTGAGTCCGGAGCAACTTGGGAAAGTAATGTTAAATTGAGTCCGTAGCAACTTGGGAAAGTAATGTTAAATTGAGTCCGTAGCAACTTGGGAAAGTAATGTTAAATTGGGTTTGTACAAACTTGGAAAGCAAATAAAGTAATAACCTCTTTTTTTTTTTTTTTGTCTTAGTAGGATTAGGCAACTTGATACCGGAATAACCTTTAATTAATATATATATATATATATATATATATATATATATACACACACACTCCGTATTTGATATAGGTTAAGGGCAACTTAATATTTGGAAAAGACGTCGAGGCCCATTGACGGGTTCAATGTCATAAGCCCGGTCCAATTTTTTTTCCCGGTCCAAGCCCTTTATCTGGAGAAAAAAAGTACAAAGAGAATAGAATAATAATCACCGGTTTGCTGCATGGGCATATTTGGAAAAAAAATAATAATAATATTCAGGTTCATTAGTTTTGCAGTTTCGCTTTATCAATAGATGTAGCTAGTGGACTGAATATGATGACTTTTTTTTCTTCATTAGAGGAAAGTACAAAAGACACTGGCATAGTTTCAAAAGTATTACTTATGTTTTATATACTAACTGCCGTGAAGTAAAAAATAATAATAATAAAATAAATAAATAAAGACAAAGAAAATTCTCCATAAATAAAAACAAAAAAAAAATTCTCTTCAAAAAATTATACAGGAAAAGAAAGCTGGTTCTAAAAAAAAAAAGGAAACTGTAAAAGAAAGTGTTGAAGAAATTACATACTGAGTAGATACCAACATCGGATGTTTCGTATCTGACAAGAAGGAAAAAAAAGAAAATTTACAGAACAAATTTTGATGATGAAAGCAAAACTTACAAAATATTGTAGATTTGTACTGCAGATCTTGTAGATTCATATTACAGATCTTGTAAGTGTTGTGCCTTGATACCGGTTTAACCTTTAGATTCACAAAACTTACAGATCTTGTAAGTGTTGCGCCTTAAGATAATATCCTTCAGAGTTGTATCGCATGCGCTGTGGAACTGAACAGCAGCAACATCTGACACGCCGACGTAGGCTTCTAGTTCAGGGTTAACTATTATGTCTCAACAACTTTAGCAAACCAACGGTTGAGATGCTTTAACATTTAATGGCTGAGATGAAATCTGATGTGCTGATGGAATTATCAATTCTTTGGGCCTTGGTAATTTGGGCTGAACTTATACTCATTCTCATATAGGATTACACCTTTTAAAACTAGAATGGATATCCGAATGGACTTCCTTACGTGGTCTATTGGTCTTGCATTGTCCGCCAAGTGATGGCATGAAAATGAAAATAAAATTAAAAAAAAAAGAAAGTAATTTACACATACATCTCCTATGATTTGTTATAATTACAGGCGGTATCCTTCTTGTTCCAAAAATTACGCGGACCTCCCCTACTTTTGAAAATATCCTACACGGACCTCCCTTCTGTTACAGTCAATGACGGAAAATGATGACGTTAACTACTATTTTTTATAAAATGCCGAAAATATCCTTATTCCTACCAGTTGATATATATATATATATATATTTGATCAGACGACGTCTTTGAATTTTTCGACCAAAAATATGCGTATATATATATAACACAGGTGGCATGCATATATATATACTATAACACAGGTGGCGTACATATATATATACAGTTCTCTTGAAACCTCACAGAATGAACCAATCTCATATATATATATATATATATATATATATATATATATATATATATATATATATATATATGTCGTTCCATTACCATACATGGTGGCTGTACCAACCAATCTCCTTCCAACTTCTACTTTCTCTCTCTACAGCATCAACAAGACAACTTTCTCGCTCTAAATCTCAAACAAAAACCATTCCTTTGCTGGAACAACTGACCAAAAAATCCCCTCTGATCACCAATTAAACAACACCAACGCAGCTTCCTTTCTTCTATTTGTGAGTTGATTCAGAACCCTTACAAATCCACCAGCATAGCTAATAGCTTCATAAAAAAAGCACAACCTCACCTCTTTATCATCTCATCGCCTGAAATCATCGAATTAGGGGAATTTAGATAGGGAACAGTTTGTGGATGTTATAAATTCTATTCCGGTACAATCGTCAATGCCGCGGTCAACGGTGGCACTGCCAAACCATATGGACTTCCTGTTTGTGGATGCTCTGAATCAGATCCAGGATTTACAAAGATTGTAAATTGAAGAGTGGATTTGTAGAGTGAAAGTCCAATACGCCATCAACGGTGGTGATTACAATCACAATTGGTCCTATTAGACATGGTTGAGCCTCAAACCTTACCCTAACCGTAACTCCAACCCCAGCTCGATGCGTATCCGCAAGCGAAAGTGAAGTCGTCCTGTGAGGTTTCAAGAGAACGGCCGTGATCAGACGAACAATTTTTCGGCCAAAAATATGGTCATTGGACAGGTGAAGATCTTGAAACAAAAAGAGGATTTATAACTGGAAAAGAATATATATATATATATATATATATATATATATATATATATAAGCTTATGGGTATTTTAGTAATTTAAGGTAACAATGTGAGGGTATTTCAGTAATTTCAACAGCTCCGTTGGTAGATTTAACTGTCCGTCACAGATTAGGGAGGTCCGTGTAGGATATTTTAAAAAGTAGGGGAGGTCCGCGTAATTTCGGGAACAGGAAGGGTGCCGCGTAATCAATCAAACTATAAATAATAATAGGGAAAATTTAAAAATACCTTACTTAATTATGCATATTTTCAAATATGCTAATTTTTTTAATTTTTTAATTTTGACTGTTGTAGGGGTTCTTTTCTACTAGATAATAAAACAGCAATAAAATAAAGATATCAGGAATACAAATACAAAGGAAAACAGAGGAGATGCTCAGTGTAGGAGGAGGAGAATAAGACCAATTATCAAGATACAGATAGTGGTAGGGTGAGTATACAATATTTCATGACAGATTCTCTTCCTTTTCGGGTTGGTTCTTTCTTCATAGGACAGTGCCATATATAGATCTAGATTCCATTGGTTATTATCCAATGGTTCCTTCCATGCATGGTCCCTCGCATACATTACCCCCAATTTGGATTACGTGAGTAGTCCTGAAAATTTAGGAGTCTGAAGGGTCTAATCCTTTCCTCAAGCCTTGTCCGACATTGCCATGTCACTTCTCCTTTAATCAGGGGCATTAAATGTTGCTTGGCCGTCAGTTGGTCAAGCATGACATAGCATTAATTGTGATTTTAAGGTTTGCTGTCACGACATGTATAATCCCATCATCTTGTTAATTGGGCATTGCTAAGAGCGAAGGCACCTCTTGACTTCTCATCCACCAATCCAAGATCCTCCTAAGTTTCCCAAATATGGATTCCTAAAACACGAAGATCCTACCTTCATCTCATGCTAATGAGCTCTAATCTTTCAAAACAGTATTGTCTGGCATAACACCAGGGTTCGAGGTACTTGAGAGTTGGTCTCTCGAGGCTTGATGGGCCTGGTGTGGTGCCAGGGCTTGGGATGCTCGATGATCAGCTTCTCAAGGCCTATTGGACCTGGAGCGATCTCCGGGCTTTGTATGCTCGAAGTTTAATCACTCGAGGCTTGGTGGGCCTGGAGCGGTGCCAGGGCTTTAGAGTGCTTGAAATTTGATCTTTCGAGGCTTGATGGGACTAGAGCGATGCCAGGGCTTATAGTGCTCGAGATTTGATCTTTCGAGGCTTAATGGGTCTGGAACAATGCCAGGGCTTAGGGTGCTCGAGTTTTGATCTTTCAAGGCTTGAGGGCCTGGAGCGATGCCAGGGCTTAGAGTGCTCGAGATTTGATCTTTCGAGGCTTGAGGGCCTAGAGCGATGCCAAGGCTTAGAGTGCTCGAGATTTGATCTTTTGAGGGTTGAGGGCCTGGAGCGATGCCGGGCTTATAATGCTCGAGATTTGACCTTTCGAGGCTTTTGACTTTTCAAATTACCACGGAGGATTTGGCTAGGATTGTATTGACTTGTCAACATGCCACATTAGCTCTAATAAGTGACACCCACATTTTACCCCCCTGCACGTGCAATGATTCAGAATGAATTATTGCCCGTGCAAGGCTAGGTTTCTAGGTCATTTATTGTTTCAAGGAGGTTGAAGGGACGCAAGCATGAAAGGTCGCCTCTAGTTATTAATGCGCCGTCTGTTACCGATTTGATTTTTGGGGGTTCCCGAGGTGAGAAGGCTATTAAAAGGGAACAATGACAATGTAAATGGTTTACTTGTGAAAAGAACTTAGAAAGTACTGTGATTACCTTAACTTCTATCATCGCCGGAGAAAAGATCTTGCGAAAGTTTAAAGTTCTTTGGTTCATTGTTGTTTTTAGTGGAGGGGACTGCCACCATGGTTAGTAAGAAACAAGAGTTATGCAAAAAGGATTGCCCTCTTCCAAAGGTGACAGCAAATTCGGAATGGCAACGGGCACCATTTTTTAGAAAGAATGACATGTTTTGGCATCGGGCGAGCAAGTCTGTGGTCGCCGGCGAACTGCTTGAAATGGTTGAGTTGATGGAGGAGGAGGAGGTTGAAATTAACCTAGCTCCTCGCATCCCTGCTGATACGATTGTGCGATTTGGGGTCGAGCAAGGGCAATATCCATGGTCTTATGTGAACTTCAATAATCACATAAGTCCTGCCCATAGTTAGGAAAAATGGACGGACGCGATCCTTACAAACCCGGTGTACGAGGCAATTTTGGATGAAGCGAGCTTGACATCGTGTATTAAGCTGTTTCGCCAAATACACATTCCTCGCGACATTGCCGGTTTATGGGAACTGACTTCGCGATGGAGCTCAAGCTCACACACTTTCATTATTACATGGGGAGAGTTTACTCCCACTATTGAGGATATGAGCCAGTTGCTAGGGCTACCTTTTCAAGGGGTAGAGAATCCTGGATCTTGGGAATTCGTGCAAGCTGAAGAGACTTTGGCTCATGATCTCGAGACGGCTCCGGAGAAAACCAAAGATTTCAAGTCATTGTGGGGCGCACAGGGTGTTCGCCATGCTGAACGAGGCAAGGGTACGCGCAAGGCCACTCTTGGGGCTTTGGTGTGATACTACTTTAAGGATTTCCCAATGACAAAAAAGAATCTCTCAGAGGAGGGAAGAAAAGGGATTCCAGGTCCCTGGGTTGATCATTCTTCCGGTTTCGCGGCCTACTTACTATGTTGGCTATCGAGATACCTTTTCGAGGGGACTCCGGAAGATGCTCCGCAGCCACGACTTATAGATTTGGCGGTGAAGCTGGCGAGTGGTGTGAAAGTGGCCCTCGCACCTCTCTTTTTAGGAACATTGTACCACCGTCTCGATATGGTGTGGGAAGACATGGGACAGTCTGTGGGGCGCTATGTCCATTACTCCTACGCATCAACCGTCTTTCTACAAATGTTCCTGTACGAAAGGTTCCAATCTTATGCTCCCATCCCAACAGACTTGGCTGTGGACGAGGAGGTAGTGCGAGGCATGAGGTGGCATGGTTGGTCGCCGTGAGGACGGCTAGGATATGCCTTGGACCAAAGCTTCCAATTCATTAGTCGTCCTTATGCGGCGGACCTACCTGGGGCTTGAACTCGGCCCATGTATTTTGATGATAATGAGCATATTCCAGCAGGTGCTCATCACTTGAATACGAGCGAAGTATTAGTGTTTCTGTTGATGACCACCCCTGGCTACTTGCCCGTGATAGGGGAAGGGGGCCAAATATCGAAGATATACAACCCTCGCATAGTCCCTCTGCAATTTGGCTATGATAGGGGGTACCCTCGCAATACATCTTTGTTGAGGGTGAGGACTCCTACGAGAGTAGCTTCACGAGGTTTGTAGCGGCTCACATTGGGTTACTCCGTGAAGGAATTGGCGATGTCTTCCTGCTAGGGAGGGGTAGGATCCCGAGGTGTACAGAGACAGCTCGCTCGCTCTGGGCGATAGAGTTAGCGAGTTAGAAAGATTTTTGTCAGAGTCCTG